TCTTTGATCAAAGTCATTCCCCATCATTTTCTCTTACGTCTTTCTTCCTCCCACCAAATCTTTTTATCCCAAATCCCCTACTACTTCCAGTTGTGCGTGTGTGTCCATGTGCATGTGCGTGTGCGTGTGTGAGTGTGTGTGTGTCTGCCTGTGTGTGTGTGTGTGTGTGTGTGTGTGTGTGTGTGTGTGTGTGTGTGTGTGTGCCACTGCTTTTAATTTGTGCTACTTGCATGAGCACGGAGTGAGGTATATTTCCTTGGGTAGAGGCAATGTACCTGTGGGGATCATTCTTAATCAAAGCATGAAATGTAATGACACAGGCCCTCCAGAGCCTGCAAAGCAGTCCCTTTTTCTCCAGCTCCTGTCAGGTGACTGTAGGGACACAGTGGAGCTGTCTGTAACCATTTGGGACGTGCAGAGACAGGGAACTGGCTGGTGGCCACAATCTCACGATAGAAGGGACTGGAGGGGGCAGTCAGGACTCCCAGATCCTGAGGCAGCCTCCCTGGGCCTGTGAAGTCTGAGGCTCCCCCATGTCACCAGCTGTCCTCACTGATGAAGCCCTCTCTATTCCAGTCTCTAGGAAGAGGCAGTGGGAAGGGGGCAGGCCTTTCTCAGTTGACTCAGCCACAAAGCCATAGTGTGATTGGAGGTGATTCATTCTGCATCAGCCATTGCCTCCTCTAAGCATCCAGCCTGTGAGGGAGCCAGGTCCCACCTTACTGGCCCAGCCACACAGTGTTCCCACACTTATATGCTCTGTAAGTAGACCAGGTTTGAATCAGAGACCAGCCTAAACCTGCCCTAGGGGTGATAGCTGGGCTTCCAGGCCTGGTAGCTGGAGGCCTGAGGAAGTGGCTCACCCTGGGTGATGTAGACTCTGGTCCTAATATGACTAGAATTGGGCACAACCACCCTGAGACCCTCCTCTCTGACAGGGGTCAGAGGGCCTAGAGGGGCACCAGAGATGTCACAATCCAAACCCACAGCCCCCTCCTAGGGACTCCCTACATATGTACTTCTTGAACTGTGGGGAACCCTTTCCCATTAGCAATTGGTACACATCTTCAGGCGTTGATTCCCTGTGTGCCCATTTCCCGCTGGATAAGTCAATGCAGCTGCAGATCGGGCCTCCAGGAAGGCTAGTGATGTCCACTTAAGGATGCTCCTACCAGGCCCAGAACCCAAGAACCCTCTTGTGTGGCTCAGCCTAGCATGAATGCTGAGTCTCCTGTAACCACCATATAGATCTCCAGACAGAATGACCTGAAACAGTTTTTGTGGTCTGGAGGTAGGAAGCCCAAATGGGCCTCGGTGAGCAAAGAGCAAGGTGTTGACTGCACCAGGTCACTTTGGAAACCTTAGAGAGACTCAGCCCACCACTTTGAAACCCCCTTTCATATTTATAGGTTCTGGTGAGTAAATGGTGAACATCTCTGGAGACCATTACTCCACTGGCCATAGAGAGTGCAATACAACACCACATTCTGACTCCTTCCCACTTGATAATTCAGCCTGGCACTGGGAGCAAGTTTCCATTATCCAGACTGTGTGACCTTAGGGAAGTTCCGTACCCTCTCTAGACCTTGCTTATCTTAATAAAATGGAGCTTAATCATAGACTCTGATAAGGGACCATCATCACTTGCTTGGGGTCTGGAAATGCCAGTAGCTGACTCAGGTAGCTGTACTTCATAATATCTCTGGCTTCCCAGCTCTTGGTACCTGTGATTTCACGACTCAGTGCTTCTAAATAACAGGCGCAAACTCTGAAGATGCATAATCACATCTGTTGAGAAACTTCCCTCAGGGAGAGAAGTGGATCATCTTTCTCTGTGGCATGGTGCTTTGTACTAGAAGGTAGTTGAGCACACACGCCAACAGTAAATAGATAGACAACTGTGCTTGTATGTGTGTGTATTTGTACAGGGGCTGTGTGTTTATGTGTGCAAGCACCTTCTCACAAAGCTCAGATAGAAAGCATGTTCCTCTAACCAGCCCCTGGCTCCCTAGATGTGGGGGGTGGAGGGGAGCACTGTGAGGCTGTTGCCACTGAGGCCTGCCTCTGCTGAGAGTGGCTGGGAGCTAGAACAAGATAAGCACTGCTGCAGATTAGTATACACCCCTGCTGCTCCCAGCCACCCTCCTCTCACTTCCTGCTTACCTGGCTAGTGCTCCCTACACCCACAGCCTTCATCCTGACTGACCAGCCATCTTGTCCAATGCTCCAGGCTACTAGGGCAATGGTTCTTGCACATCACCAGCTTGACTCCAAGCCTATCCTATCTGTGACTTCCAGTCATGCTGCTCAGAGCCCCTGACCTGGAATCCAGAGGCCGTTCAGGGCCAGCCCTGACCTGTGTTAGCAGTGTAGCCTTTGTTGAGTCTCTAAAAACTCTCTATGTCCCCCACTCCACCTGCTCCAGAAGTCACCTTGCTCTACAGGACTGTGTATCCCAGACCTCTACTCTACTGAGCATCTCTGGCTTGTTTAGAACCCGGATGTGCCTCTGGTGCAGGTACCGCAGAGACTCAACTTGGTGATGCTCTGGCCACAGCCCTCTCCTGGCCTAGACTACTATCTTCTCTTGTCCTGGTAACAGCAGCCTGGTGCTATGCACTCTGCTTGAGGTCATTTCTCGGCTTCTGGCTCTTCACTGGTTTCAGATGTGCCTTCATGTCCTTCCCAGCTCAGCCCCCGCCTTTCTCTCTGAGCAGCGCAAACTCTGAAGCCAAATGGATTAATTCCCAGCTTCACCTATAATCCCATCTGTGTGACCTTTGGAAAGATACCTAACCTCTCTGGACCTCCATTTCATCATCTGCACAATGATAATAATCATAAAGACTACGTAGAGATGTGAGGATTAGAACAATCCATGCCGTAAAGTACTCAGAACAGAGCCTGGCTCTTAGGAAGTGACACAAAAGTCTTCAGTTCTATTTTTCATGAGTACTATTATTTTCTAGCCTCACCCGAATGTCATTTACATATATCCTGCTGGGTAAAAGGGGGGGCTGGGGGCATTTAGGGGAGTTTGGGTCAGATCGCCCAGGGAAGCAGTGTGGTGTTACACCAGCAAAGCTGGGAATGGCTCCCTATAGAAAACTGAGGGAACAGCTTAGAGTTAGGAAAAGTTACGTGAGCAGAGACATCCAGGGAATAAGTGGCTTTGTGGGTTTGTGAGTAGGATGGAATTTGTTTGGACAGCTAGATCAGACAGAGGCCACAGAGGCCCTTAAGGCCTGGGTGGAGGGTTTCTGTCTCCTCCTCAAGGCAATAGGGAGCCACTGAAGGTTGTTGAAGTGGGAGAAGAAGGTCATGGGCTCAAAGCTTTGCTCAGAGCAGTCAGATGTGTTTAACACCCAGAAAGAAATCAGTTCTGGCCGCAGACCCAATGGATTACAAACACAGTAATACATTTTCTTGTATTCTGGAAGCTGGAAGTCTGAGACTGAGGCATCTACAGCATTGATTACTATGGAGGCTGCGTGACAAGAATTGGACTCATCTTCTCTCCCGTGTTTTGTCGGCTGCCAGCAAACTCTGGTGTCCCTTAACCTGTACATACCCATTGCAATCCCTTTCCCCCTCCTCTCACGGCTGCCTCTGTGCATCAGTGTAATGGTTCGTTTTAATTGTCAACTTTACACAATTTAGAATCACCTGGGAAGAGTCCCAAAGAGGAATTGTCCAGATCAGACTGAACTGTGGGCATGTCTGTGTGGGATTGTCTCCACTGCACTAATGGAGGTGGGAAGACTTGCCCATTTGGGGCAGCATCTTTCTCTGGCTCTAGGTCTTAGACCACTGGATGTAGAGGGAAGGCTGAACACCAGTGAGCTTGCATGCATTTCCTTCTGCTCCTGACTGTGGGTGTGACCTGCCTTGACTTGTCTGCCATGGCGGCCTGTAGTCTGGGATTGCAAGCTGAATAAACCCTTTCTTTCTTAAAGTCACACTTACTGCCATAGTGTCCTCCCACAGCAACAGAAGAAATGAAACTAGAACAATCAGCGTGTCCCACTCCCCTCTGTGTTGGTACAAGGCCTGTGCCACCCTTACCTTACTGGTATGTAAATATGGTCCCACTCACAGGTTTTGGGGATTCGGCAGACATATGTTTCGGAGCCATACTTTAGGCAAGGAAACCAGCACTCTCTGTACATCAGTCTTGGACTCTGGCTCATGTGGGGGAGCTGAGAACCACTGAGCTGCATCTGAGCTTCCTCAAGGAATGCTTTGATAACTCCCTAAATGGGACATGGTCCCTAGGAGCATCCTTCCATGTGTCTAGTGGAAAAGGGCCTCTTTTCTCCAGCCAAGGTTAGCACTTGCTCCCCCACCCCCACCCACCGCCAGGCTCCATAGTCTGGTTGAAAGTGTGGTACCTTTAACTTTTATCAGCAGCCACAAAACAAGAATTTAGAGTCCCCTTGCGGTTTGTTTTTTGCTCTGTAGTCAGCAGCTGAATTTGCCCTAATGGGATTCTAATGTTTTTAAAAGCCAGTTTAGTAATCTTTGTATTTTTGATGGATTGTGAAAGGCCGATTAGTTATTTATATCTGTATACACATGCGCAGCTGCAAATGGCAGGCTTGTGCTTTTATGTGCCGTTAATATCTGTACTATGTTAGCAGAGGGATACAGCCAGCCCTCAAAACGCTGTACACACACACACACACACACACACACACACACACACACACGCCCCTCTGTCACTCTGTGTGGTCAGCCGTAGGCTATTCCCATTTATTAACATTTCAGTGAATAATTCTCTACTATATCATATCAAGTAAGTAATAAATCTATCATCGGGCTGTTTAATTAAAGATAATCAGACTTTGAAGACATAGAATACAATTAAATATACTTAGCACTGAAACTGGGTTGAATGTGATTTAATCTTTTGTGGGTGACTCGGGATCTTGCAGACCCTAAGGGGCTTCATGATGCATATAAATAACCCTCTTACTGTGTAGAAGCTCTATTGGGAAGAAGTCTCCCACTGGAAGCCAGCCAGACACGGCAGCCTCCCCTCTAGCGGGATCCTCGCTTTTACCTGGAAATGGTCTCTATCTATCCCTGGAGGACACAGATCTGTGAGTGTTTGTCCTTGGCATCAAATGCTGCTGGCAGCTGGTGTGAAATCCTCCATTTTTTCAGCTCCCTTTAATTTCTGTAACAGAGAGGAATACCCAGGAGGGTGTTAATATGGCTTTAACACCTTCTTTAACACTAATCCTTCTTCTCTACAAAGAATTCTACCCAGGATTCATTCATGAATTCAACTTGTGTTTATGAAGAAGTCCCCATGAGGAATGGTAGAACCAGAAAGTTGGGAACAGCAAAGAGGACAGCTAAACGTGTTTCAGGAAGCATAATATGTATTCAAGCATTGTCTTAAATGGACTTATCCATCCAAACCACCCCACCATTGGCTACCCTTTCTGGTGCAATCGCCTTCACCAACTGAATGGCATTCAGAGAGCTAATTCAGAATTTAAATTAATATTGGAGAGAAGGAGATAAAAATAGGCTCTAAGTATCATTTTAAAAGAAGAGCTGTTGAATCAAGACTGGTCTTTTCTGATTTTCAAGCATTTATGAAGCTTCAATAATAAAATAATTTATTTCCCACAATGGAGAAAAGATGAGATCAATAAGATAAAGTGGGAAATAGGGACGTGAACTCAACTGCACCTGGAAATACAGTGGTTGAGAGAGTGGATGGAAATCATTGGGTTAAAGGTGGCTGACCCAGGAGATTTCAACACAGGTAACTGGTACTTAGTGGCTTATTCAGTAGATATTGACACAATTGACTGGCTACTTTGGAAAATAAAAATATGATTCCCAGCTCACTCTAGATAGGTCACAGGTTTAATACTGATAGTAAAACTAAAATTACCATCAGAAACATGCTTAACTTTTAGTAATCTTACCTAGGGTAAGCACTCTCTTCTTTTTATATGTATGTGTGTGTGCATGTGTCAGGGTTTGTATGTACACTTCTGTGCATGCATGTAGAGGCCCAAGGTTGATGCTGGACCTCTCCCTCCACCACTCCCCCTCTTACTCTTTGAGGCATGGTCTCTCAGTCAAAACCAGAGCTCACCAATATGACTAGTTTCCCTCGCCAGCTTGCTCCTGGAGTCTCGTCTCTGTCTTCCAAGGCTGGAAGGCCCTCATACCCACTCAGCATTTACATGGGTTCTGGTGACCTGAACATCAGTCCTCTTGGCTCACCTGGCGAATGTTTTGACCACTGATCCACCTCCCTATAGAGGAAGCATTTTCCAAACATAACCTTAAACCTATGGAGAAAAAGATTGAATGCGCTAAGTTGAATGGAAACACTCCTGGTTGGGTGCTATAAACACTTTCCAAGGTCAGATAGGACACTGAGAAGTGTGTGTGCAGGACATACATCAATCAGCAAAGGGATGATTTCCTAATGTGCAAAGAATTCTTCTATCGGTGAGAATCTGATTTTCTATTTAAAATAAAAAAGTTGTGGAGACAGTGATTTAGAAACAAAGGAAAAACAGATGCTAATGACTACAGGCAAAGCTCTTTTACTTAAAATTATATGAAATTAAATTAAATTAGATACTACCTTCTAGCTTCCACATTGGTTAAGTTATGGTTCACACGTCGATTATTTCTTCATGATGTTTTACAAAGTTATATTTGAATTGTGTTTTGTGTGCTCATCAGAGGGACATTGGTCTCTCTGGCTAGATGGTTCTGCAAAGGCAAGAACCATCAGACCTTCATCCCCTGGAGAACCTGTACATTGCCTGGACTTAATAAATGTTTAGTGAGTGAGTGAGTGAGTGAGTGAGAGAATGGATAGAGAGATCTCATATAGGAAAATAGCAATAGCTTCACTCAGGAGAGTTGGGCAGGTACAGGGAAAGAAGATTGTCTATCTCTTCACAGTTTTCTACTGTTAAGGTCTATCAAATGGTCACGTGCAACTTTATGATCATTGTTTTGAAAATAGTTTAAAAAAAATTTAAGTGAATTCTGCAAGAGCAAGATGGTAAAGGGACATCTAAGAACAAGGATGCCAACTTGTGACTGACCCCATTATCTCAACATCGTCAGGGGGAAAGGAAAGCTCATTCTAGGATGAGTCATTAGAGAGTTTGGAGAGGACAGAAATCCTGCCAGAGGTCCCTCTCAGCCAAACCCAGGCTGGTTGAGCTGTGAAGGTGAAGGTAGAATGCCAGGGACCAGCCTCAGCAGTTTCAGGGGTCCAAAGATAGGGTGGGTGTTGAAAGCCCAGAGAAACCAAAGAGGTCAAGGTTAAGACATCTGCCGAGCCAGAGGAGTCCACAGGCAGCATTCCAGTCCTAGAGAGCTGAGGGACAGAGAATAGTCTGGATATTGCATTACTCTGAGCTTGCTGGCAGCCTCATCTGTGATATGTGCTGGATCTCTCACGGTCATTCTAACCAGGATGCCATTCATGAACCTTGACCTCATGTAGGTATGGAATGAGACACCAGAACTAGCTCTCAGGGAAGTCACTTTCCCCAATGGTAGAGAGAAATTCAACAAGGCAGGCACTGTGACTCCTCCTTAGTCTAGCCCCAAACACTCCATTGAAATTCCCTTCTACCTGTTGCTCCAGCAGTAACCACTTTCATTCAGTACATCTGTTTTCCTGCCTTTATGCCTTCCCCTACCCACTTCACCTAATGATCAAGGATTTATTTTTCAAAACTTTTGCTCTATTTTTCCATGAAGCCTTTCCTGGCCTACCACTCAGGTGGAATATCCACTTCCTGTTCATGCCATCCACATAGCATGTAGACTTCTTTCACGGCACCTGTAACATCTGTGGGCATGTACACCCTTGCCACCTTATTGACTTCCTTAAGGGCAGCTTCAGTGCATCTTACTTCTCATTGCAGTTCCGATCAGGCACATGGTATGGAGTCGATAGATGGAAGGACAGAAAGAAAGACAGGCTATAGATGAAAGAATGGATGATGGAAGGGTAGATGGGTGTTAAGCTCGTTAACGTAACAGCTACTCTGTTATATTTTCTACTGTGTCTGTGATTTAGCACATAGTAGGTCCCAATTTTTTTATTTAATTAAAAGTGACCATTTATGTGGGTGGATGGATGGATGGATGGATGGATAGATGAATGGATGGATGGGTGGGTGGGTGGGTAGATGAGTGGATGAGTGAATGTATAGATTTAGATTGTAAATATCTGAGGCAGATGCACAGTCACCCTGAAATGGAGCCAGATAGTCCTGATTGTCCAAAAATCTGCCCGATCTAGTGCATGAAATTAATTGAAATGTCAAAGATTATTTCTAACTCCTAGAATTTTCCTGTTAGTCACACCCCACGACTGAGTTTTTATCACATTCCATGCCAGTTTTTTCCTCACGTGTCACTGTTGGGCAGTGATCAAGGGAGATGCTTTCCTGAGAACTTTCAAAGGACTTACCCCCTCCTCCTGGGAGCTACATCTCCAAGAACTGACCACCCCTGACACTTCCACAGCTACCCAAGACCCAACGGGAGATCTATGATAACATTCCCCTGAGGCTCTTAAGAGGAGTTAGGGCCTAAACCAAGTGTTCTCTTGATTGCTAAGTCCTGGGAGTCCCTTCACTGAAGACCTGCAGAAACTGAGAATGTGTTTTTCTTCCCTCTTAAGCCTCTCTAATACAGATGGCACTGAGGACTGACTATGCAGAGATCACATGGATGACACAGAGAGGCAGAACCCTGGGAGAGAAGAGGGTGGAGTGGGGAAGGAGGCAACAGTCCTGTCCATGTGGCTAGCAGTGCTCCTCATTGGCAGGAAAGAAAAGGGAAGAAATGTCTGCCACCCTAGGTCTCAGAGGCAAGGGAATGTTCTTAGCGTGGATCTCTAGTGTACTTGGCATGGTTTCCAAACCCAGTCCCCTTGAGTAAATGCAGACCTACGCTCCCCCTGCAATTAGACTCTTCTTTTTTCTTACACCCAACACCCTGTGAGCATCTTCTTTGCTTGGCCTGTTTTATGACCTCTATTGTAGTTACCCTGAGTCTGCCCTGGTCACCCTACAGTCCATGATCATCCCACCAGCTGGGGTGACCCTTTAAAGACAGGGCAACTCCATCCTTCTCCATTCAGGATCTTCCAGTGGTTCCTGTCTCACTCAAAATCAGTGTTAGAGCCACACTGACAGGCCCTTGCCTCTTATACAACATCTTCAGAACAACACAGCTGCCAGTAAGCCCAGTGGGGTAAGTCCTATCTCAAAAGCTTGTGGCTCACGGAGGGAAGGACAGCTTGTGTGTGTGTGCCTGGGGGGGTCACCTTGGAGCACTTCCTGCCTGTGACTCTATCCTAGCTGTCCTGCCTCTCTGCCTCTGCTGGGAACAGTCTCTGCTGTACTTCTCACTGTCTCGCTGGCTGCCTGGACAGAAGGCGCTTCCAGAAGCAGGGCCTGCATGTGTGCGGCATCCTGAGTCAGGCTTGGAACAATAACCTTGAACTTGCTGGACCAATGGAAGTGGAGGTAGAGCGGGAGAAAGCAGTGGTGATCTGGTGTCAGACCACGGTTTCTAGGAACTGGGCTGTGAACAGAGAGAAACCTAGTGCCCTGGAGGTGAAGGTTGAGAATGTGGCCAGTGGCTAAAGTCCTCCATGATCCGCAGCTGCCTGTCTGCATCCCACCTCTGCACCCTCTGCTCCGGCACTTCCCCCACATGTGGAGCACCTGCCTCTGGGCCTTTGTTCTCTCCTGGACTGTCCTCCAGCCACAATTATAATGATAATAACAGCTGCCATTATTGAGCTGTTTATAGAGAGCAAGCTGTCTTTCACTCATTTAATCTTCCAGTGGCCCTGTGAGGGTTATGCTAGAATGGTCTCCATTATTCTGTAGTATTCCCAAGGAAACTGGTACTTAAGGGGAGGCTAACTAAATGCATCAGTGTTGTGGGCCAAACCTGGCCTCCAGAACTCAGAAATCAGGCTCTCTGAACTGCTCTGTGGAGTCCAATTCTCAAAATCCCAGCCGATACTGAGTCCCTAGGAAGCATGAGAAGCTCTTAGACTGCCTTGGACTAGCCTCAGGGAGGCTCCACAGGACCCCAAGGGATGCAGGCTCAGCTCTGTTTCTACAGTGTTCCAGCTGGTGGAGGTCTGTCTTCACAGCTGAGCCCGAGGCCTCAGAGGCACTGTGCCCAGCATTTGTGTTTTCAGAAGGTCACCGCGCCCTTCCTTAGACACGTTTCTGACTCCACACCTCAGTGTGTCCTGGTGCCCATTTCTAGAAAGAATCTACATTTACGTTTCCCCCACTCTCATTCTTAAGTGCCCTGGGTTTTTAAGAAAGATCTCTGAAAAGGGAATCCATTCTTGGGCAAAATGTGAGCCAGGAGCTATGCTCACACTACCAGGAAAAGAACCTGCTTCTCATAGACAGTGGGCTCACTAAGTCAGCCCTAAATCTGCTTCCTGCTGCCAAGTCTTTTAAAATAAAACAGAGGCTCCAAGCTGGTGGGATAGGCCAAAAAAAAAAAAAAAGCTCTGATATTTCCTTTTTTTTTTTCTTCATAAATTTAACAGTAAAAGAAAGCCTTCTGGCAGTGACTAGGTTATTGACTTCCTAAATCTTTAGCTCCAAAGAACTTCATTTACTTACTTTATTAGCAAACATTTATTGACTCCGTTCTCTGTGCCAAGTTGTCTATATATATATATATTATCCCATTCCAGCCTCTCCGCCAGCCTTGAGGCAGGCGGTGTCAAACATTGCAGAGGGAGGGGCAGGCTCAGAGGAACCCAGCCTGGCAACCCCCATGGAAGGTGGCAAAGCGGGCATTGGCACCTGGCCAGAGCTCTTCCATGGCTCCTTCCTTCCTGTTTGGTAAAGCTGAGTGTGGACTCTGGCTTTCAGCTTTTTGCTTGCTTAATGGAAGATGGAGTCCAGGTTGGCATCAGTGCCAGTACAGTCAACTCTCCTTAGCAGCTAGAGGCCAATGGGGCAGAGCCCAAGCCTGTGCCCAGAGCACCAGGCCTATGTAGTCACCCCCCACTCCCAGCATGGCACATGCATCTCCTGATTCTGGCTTCTTCCATTACTGCATCATAACTTTGGTTACTCATATGAAGTACCCAAATAGACAACCTATAGAAACAGAGTATGGAGCCACCATAAGTCTTAGAAATGAAAAGGATGTTGAGTGCTGTAGTTAGGGTTCCAAGGAAGGTCACTGGAATCCAGAGACTGTTCCACACTGTCACCTTACATGCCCTCCCCCCCAAAAAACAGTTTAATCTAGTGTAGGTGCAAGACGTCAAATACATATTAATCTAAACACAGAAAGTGCTTGGCACGGTGTCCACCCAAGTTGGTGCTCAGTAAAGCTTGGCTGGTCCTCTTCAGCACCATCACCAGTATCATCCCTGAGGGCGAGCAGATGAAGGCTGGGGGATGGCTAGCATGGTTTTCTCCTCATGGGAAAATACATCCTTGACCCAAGTCTAGCGACAAAATAGAGGAAGGCGAGGCCCTGTGTTTGCCACAGGGCCGTGCTGTGCACCTCAGAGCAGAAGCAGGCCGTAAGAGCCTGATGGCCCCCGCGACAGATAAGGTGCTGCATGTGGTGTGTCCAAGGTCTCACGCAGAGCGGTACTTCTTACAATTTTCGTTCTGAGTGACCTGACCAAAAGATTCTTTGTCCAGTCACACAAGACTTTGGAAAGATGACCCTCAAGACTGAATCCAGATGGTAAATAGATGAGACTTCATGCTCCGTAGGGCAGAGTATCTATGAGGCTTTCCCACTGGAGGCCAGAGGTTCTCAGTGTGTTTTTGTTTAATCCTCACAATAAACCCACAATGGCCATTGTTTAACTGCTCTCTGCAGCTAGGGAAACTGCCCGGACGTTGGAGAAGTTTGCTCCTTCTTGAGAGGGAACTCAGCTCTGTAGGTCAGGCAATGCTGGCCTTTCTGCTCCTCAGCAGCAGCCATGAAACCCTGATGGCTGTGAATTCAGCATTCACAGATGTAAATTGATCATATTTTTTTTAAATTTTCAATAGTTCAATATTTATTTCAAATAATATTTGGTTAAATACCTAGGAGTGAAATGAATGGATCTTAATGGGAAATTGATTTTTTAAAAAACTTTTTATTGATTCTTTGTGGGTTTCGCATCATGTATCCCAATCCCACTCATCCCAACCCCACCCCCTACCCCTGTCCCCTGGTTTCTACCTTCCGCCCTTGCAGTCTCTCCCCAAAACAAAATTTAAAAGTAAAGCCAAAACAAAACAAATTTTTAAAAATCTTGGCATGGAAGCTGGAGTGTGGCACAGTGAGTCACACAGTACACCCTTTAGTCCACACATCTTTCCTTGCAAGTGTTCATTGCAGTGAGTCATTGGTCTGGTTCGAGGCCTCTGGCTTCTGCTACACCATCAATACTGAGTCCTCACTGGGGCTCCTCCTGGATGTCCTGTTGTTGCCTGTGTCATGGAGGTCCTACAGCTGTGGGTCTGCGGGACCGGCCCCTTCGTGTGCTCCAGCAGTTCACAGATGGGGTGGGGCTTGGGGTAGCCAACTCACAGCCCTGGTTCTGGGCCTGGGTGGTGGCTGGGTTGGTCCGCCTGCCAGCTTTCCCTCATTGTCACCACCAGGGCAAGCTCTCCAGCACTGCCCCCTGCTAGCTCATCCAATATGGCAGAGAGCAAGGAGCTGTGTTCTTCTGCTCTCACACCCTCGGGTCCGGCTCACCCACATTCACACAACTGGGGTAGCTCTACTGTTTTACCCAGGTGAGGTGCAGGGCCCACTCTCCAGATTGGGGCGAGGGACAGAGCCAGCTCTTCCATTCTCATGTCCCCGAGGCCGGCTTTCCTGCAGGTAGCATGGAGGGGGGCACATTTCCCTTACATTTGCTACCCTGTGGCATACGAGGGAGGGGCCAGGGCAGCTGTCCTGTCTCAGGCCCATAGGCCCAGCTCACCTGCACCCTTGATAGGATTTTTAAGAGCCGTCAACCCTTTTTGAGGGTTTGAATGCACTCCCTCCTCAGCCAAATGTAAAATACACGAACCACCAGTCTCATAAAGACAAATTCCTCAGGTGCACCATGCGTGCGTGCGTGCGTGTGTGTGTGTGTGTGTGTGTGTGTGTGTACACACTGGTGAGTGTGCATATATGTGCAAGCTGTGTATGGAGTCTGTAAGTCAACATCAGCAGTCTTCCTCCATCAATCTCAATCTGATTTGTTTAGACAAGGTCTCCCCTTGAACCTAGGGCTCACTAATTTGGCTAGGCTGGCTGGCTAGCAAGCCCCTCTCTCTGTACCCCTACCCCCCAGGGCTAGGGTTGCAGGTACATGCTGCTGTATCTGGCTTTTATGCAACCTTTTCAGTTCCTCATGCTTACAGCAAATACTCGACTGGCTGAGCCATCTCCCCTACTGGCCCCCGAACTTCAGTTTTGAACTTGGGTCTTTATCACCAAGCCATTCTGTCCTCAGCTGCAATAATAGGCTTGCATCAACACTAAAAATGATGCTCTAGCCTTCTTATTCACCTAGGTACTCTCTTACATTAGAAAAAAATAATTATTTCAGTTTATGTGTTAAGTCCTACGTGGTGGTTTTAATGAAAATGCCACCTGTAGACTTGTAGGGAGTGGCCTAATAAGCAGGTGTGGCCTTGTTGGAGGAAGTGTGTCACTGGGGGTGGGCTTTGAGGTTTCAGGAGCCCAAGCCAGGCCCAGTGGCTCACTTTCTCTTCCTGCTGCCTGCCAATCCAATCTGGATGTAGAACACTTGACTCCTCCAGCTCCAGCACCATTTCTGCCTGCATGCCTGCATGCTTCCCACCATGACAATGATTGACTAAGCCTCTGAACTGTAAGCCAGCCCCAATTAAATGATTTCCTATATAAGAGTTGCCGTGGTCATTTTGTCTCATCACAGTGATAAAATCTTAACTAAGACACCCTATATGGAGTTCTCAAAAAGAAAAGCCTGATATATAATCTTGGCATAATAGATCCATTATAGATTTTATAAATCTCTGTCATCTAGTTTTTAAAGTATCTTTGAATAAATGATTCCCACATTTGAATTTCATAACTCTCCAAAGCAGTTCCAATAGGGGTTGTTCATCTGCACAATGAAGTGTGAAGAAATCCAGAGCAGGGGTTTGTATGCTGATTTCATCTCAGGTCCATGTGTGGAGGGCCTTTCTGCTTCGCACATGAAAGCTAGCCCACAAGATCTCATTTCACTCCCCTGACACCCCAGAAAAAAGGAGAATTCAGTGATTTGCCCCATCCCCCACTTCATAGAAGAGGGCACCAAGGTCCAGAGAGGTTCTGTGGCCTGTCCAAGGTCAAGTACTGGAAGCGTCAGGCCAGGGTGAGGCTCATGGTTCCAGACTCAAGTTTCTTTCTCCTGTGCCTGTTGATCCTGGTGGAGCAGCACACGGGCTGCAGATCTGGTTAATACATAGCCAATGAGGTTCAAGACCTCATTCTTGGCTGTCTAAGCCCCCGGGCAAGTGAGGGGTCCGTGAAACTTACCTCAGTCCTGGTCTGGGTCCTGATTTTCTGTTGTCATTTGTAGTGACCTCCTTGAGAGGGTAGGAGGTCCCTGTGCTAGCGGCACAGAGACCTCAGTGAGGGATAGACCCGAGATTCATTGCCATGGCAACAGCTTCTTGGTCTGGCCTCTGACATCACAGGTCACGTGAGGGAGGACTTAGAGCATCACGGCCTGGGTCCAATAGGAGGAGGTTTGAGAGGCAGAAGTGTCCCTTGTATGGCGGGCATCTCTCTGAAGGTCGAGTCATCCCTGAAAACTGGAAGATCCTCAGGTATCCAGTGAACAGTGAGGCTGTGTTGGCCTGCCTGCCGGGCTGTGGTCTTTCACAAACACACTGCCTGTTCCAACTCCCTAGTGGGTCCTCAAAGCACTTCAGGGGCTCCAGCCATCCATTTTTTACTATTGATAAGACAGAAGAGAAGGGGAAAACAAAACCACAGTACAGACAGGCAGTTTTCTGTGGAAGATTTTTGAAGGCAAACATGAAAAGCGTATTATTGTGCACTGGGCTGTGATACAAAGTACGTTCTTCGGAGCTACAAAGTGTTTGACAAATAGGCAGTTGGAAACAGTCTTTAATGGAAACTTATCATTTCCGGACTATAGGAATATTAAAATCGAATGGGCATTTGTATCCTTTAGCCATTGTTATCATTCATTCAAAACAGTGTTTGCTCTAGCTGCCTTCTCCCTGGTCTCAGCCAGCACCATGTGTGGCAGGATATGGGTGGAGCCACTGAGATCTGTGATGTGAGCAGGATGAGGAGTGAAGCTGGGTGCTGACTTCACACTCTGCTTCCACTCCCTCTGCCAGCGGACTACCATCGTCCAGCACCTGGGCGTTGATCGTCCTTTATTGTTCCCAGGTTATTTTGTGAGCATCCATGTTCTCTCTCTCTCTCTCTCTCTCTCTCTCTCTCTCTCTCTCTCTCTCTCTCTCTCTCTCTCTCACCTTCCTTAGATGAGCCAGCTAGCCAGGTCATGTTTTGCCCATGATAGAGGCAGAGCTCAAGATAGCAAGTTCAATGTCACAAGCATTTTTCAGGCCTCTGATTCTATCCCCTCTGTTAACATAGCCTTGATCAAAGTAAGTCTATTAATCAGACTTGAAATTCAGGAAGCAGGACCACACTGTCTCTTCCTGGGGTGGCTAGGGATGGGTAAATGCCTCTGGGTAGGCCACATAGCTACTTTTAGGCTGTCACTGAAGGTTTGGAGAGCAGAATGGGAGGAAAGAGTGCTGTGTTCTGGGGATTTCTGTGGACATTCACTGCACACGGTACTGAAGTCCTAGGGACTTTCCCCTGACCTCCACCCCCATATGCATCACTACAGAGAAATCCCAGAGCCTTGCCTTGAGATCACAGCCCGTCCACACCAGTTAATTTACTGAGTCAATGAAGGAAGTCCTCAGAGGCCACCGCCAGCAGGGACTGCCTCCCCAACACCAAAATGATTAGGCTCTCTCTGGGAGGGAGGATGAGGCAGTGATCTCTGGGTTCAGGAGAAGCATCTTTCAGTGACAGAATCATTGCCAGGCTGGGGAAAGATTCTGTTTCATGGTCTTTGGAAATGTAGTGTCCAGACAAATGCTTGCATTTGTTAAAATCAGCATCCATGTCTAAAAGGGGTCCCGGGCTGGGGATGCAGTTCAGCTGGTTTCTGTATGCCTAGCATGGATGCAGCCCAGAGTTTGATCCCCAGCACCAAATAAACTGGAAGTGGGTATGCACACCTGTAATGCCAGCACTCAGGAGACACAGGCAGGAGGGTTAGAAGTTCAAGGTCATCCTTGGCTACATAATGAGTTTTCAGCCAGCCTGATCTCTATATGCTATCCTGTCTCAAAAGGCATTGGGAGTCCAGAGCGTGGGTTCCCTTCTCATCTTCTGACAGTGTGAGGTGTGGCTTTTCTCCTCTGGTGAACTGAAAAGTAACAATTTATTCTTCTCTGTCTCAGGTGTGCTGAGCTTGCCAGAGAGCCTGAACCTGCACCGAGACCCACAGCGGCCCAGCAAGCCAGGAGAACTACCCATGTTCAGCCAGTCGGAGCTGAGGACCATCGAACAGTCCCTGCTGGCCACACGTGTGGGCAGCATCGCCGAGCTCAGTAAGTGGACACTGGCTCCTCAGCCTGGGACCTTTGACACTTAACCTCTCTATATCCAGCGACATGCTAGTCTATCATGCCATAAGTGCCCGCGCTTACCTGGCCAGTGCACCTTTATTGAGTGCTTGCTGTGTGTGCAAAGCTTTGCTAGTGAAAATGGGAAAGGTCTGGAGGAAGGAGGGCCTGGTAAGTGTCCCAGCTCTGTCAGTACTATAGATGGAATCCGTTCCTCATCTGCCCTGAGCCTCAGTTTCCTTTTCAGTTACATAGAAGAAATAATCTCAGCCGACACAGGGTGTGGTTCTGATATGGAATGCACGGATGCCCAGGGCTTGGCACCCAGCCTGCCGCAGACAATATACATGGTCCTTAAACTAAGCGGTGCCCATGACTGTTGATTTCCATGGCAGCATCTGTTGGCCATGGTCAGATTAGCTCTCTCTTCTTCCAGAACACTCCACTGGTCCCTTTCTGAGCCCCAGGATGAGCCAAAGTCCTGTCCGGCCTGCTACTCCCTACCCCCTGTTCTTCCTTTGACCCTTTCTGCTCCTTGACCATAAGAAGGAAACCTCAAGCCGGGCGGTGGTGGCGCACGCCTTTAATCCCAGCACTCAGGAGGCAGAGGCAGGTGGATCTCTGTGAGTTCGAGGCCAGCCTGGACTACCAAGTGAGTTCCAGGAAAGGCGCAAAGCTACACAGAGAAACCCTGTCTCGAAAAACCAAAAAAAAAAAAAAAAAAAGAAGAAGGAAACCTCAGGACCTTTGCACTGACTGCTCCCCCAGCCAAAACAACTCTCCATGCCTTTCTTTCTCACCACCACTGAGAAACGGTAACTCTCTGAGGATGTTGTCTTACTTCAGGCTCCTAAAATAAAATACCAGAGTAGACAGGGGACTCAACAGACTTGTCTTCAGAGCTTGAGAGATGGCTTAACAGTTACAAGCACTTGCTGCTTTGCAGAGGATTCTAATTCAGTTCCTGGCAGGGATATCCGGAGGCTCACAGTTAACTGTAACTCCAGTTCCTCCTCCAGAAGGCCTTTTCTGGCCCCCAAGGGTATCCTCACACATGTGTACATACAGAGGCAGGGGTACCCTCACACATGTGTGCATACAGAGGCAGGGGTACATTCACACACATGTGCATACAGAGGCAGGGGTACCTTCACACACGTGTGCATACACAGAGGTAGGGATACCCTCACACACATGTGCATACACAGAGGCAGGGACACCCTCACACACATGTGCATACACAGAGGCAGGGACACCCTCACACACATGTGCATACACAGAGGCAGGGACACACTCACACACATGTGTGCATACACAGAGGCAGGGACACCCTCACACACGTGTGTGCATACACAGAGGCAGGGACACCCTCACACACATGTGCATACACAGAGGCAGGGACACCCTCACACACATGTGCATACACAGAGGCAGGGACACCCTCACACACGTGTGCATACACAGAGGCAGGGATTGAGGAGAGGGAGAGGCATTTATTTCTCACACTTCTAGAGGCTGGGAAATCCAAGCTCAGATATTCAGCTCCTGGTGAGAGCTCTCTGCCTCACTTGTGGTTGGAACCTTCTCACTCTTGCGGGGGGGGGGGGGCAGTGTCCTTTTATATATATATATATATATATATATATATATATATATATGACCTGGGGAGGACATAAGTATTCGGTCCATTGGTCCATAGCCACCTTCATTCTCTGTCACTCTTGAGTGCTACGCCCAGCAGTTACCATCCCACAGTGCACTTCATACATTGTGTTTCCATAGTCTCCTTGTTGAGGCACAATCGACACAAATCGATCATTTCTGGTGTATTTACCAGGTTGTGCAGCCATAACCATGGTCCGTTTTAGAACACTTTTATTACCTCAATTAAGAAGCACAGGACCCATAACAACCCCTCCCTCCCCTCTCCTAATAACACTCCACATTCCACTTTATTATTTTTTTGTTGTCCCTCTCCCTGCTGGAAGCTGTTCTCTCGTCCTCACAGTACAACATTTGAATTGTTCACTGGTAGGACAGCCTCAGATGTGTGGTACATAGTAGGGCCGCAGGAAGAATGAAGTTCAAAGGGAAGGAGGTGAAGACGGGAGGGAAGGAAGGGGGGAGGGCTCCAAAAAGTATGAAGGAAATAAAGGAGAACGTGTGGCCAAGTTTGCTAGCTGACTTGATTGGATTAAAAAATGCCCCGAGAGGACCATGGGGTTGGCTCTGTGGGCTCAGGTGCTGCCGCCAAGCTAATGACCCAAATTCCATCCTCACGACCCACATGAAAGAAGGGAACCCTCTCCTCTGTCCTCTGACACCCCCCCCCATGCATGCCTTGTAACATGCACATCCACATACATAATACACAAATAAACAGTTTAAAAAAATTAAGACATGTCTAAAGGATTAGGAAGCATTCTTCCAGGTGTGACTGTGGTTGCATTTCCAGAGACGATGAGATCATGGATGTTTGGTCCCAATGAATGGACCCATCCCCTGATGCATTCGTAATATAATAGCATTATTGGTAGGTAGCAAGAGGCAGGAGGCAGGGGCCAAGTTAGAGGAAGCACGTCACTGGGGGCATCCTGGGGGATATGTGTCTCACACTGGGGTCTTCCCGTATGCCCCCCTCTCTTTATTTCCCACCCACAAAGAAGCAAAGAACAACTTTTACCACACATTCCTGCCATCACGATATTCTGCCCAAGCACGTGAGGCCAAGAGAGGACACAGGGTTTCAGAGGGCTGAACCTGTGAGCCGAAGTAAATCTTTCTTCTCTCGTTTCTGTCAGGCATGTTGCCATAGTGATGCAAAAATGCTCACACAGAGGAACAGACAAGGTTGGGTGTCCCAGGTTTGAAGGATACTTGGTTGTATACCCCCTAATTCAGGTTTGTGCTCTCCAGCCAGACCAACTCTATCCATTTCTTCTCTGTTGCTGTGATAAAATGCTCAT